ACACTGAAGGATCCAGGACAATTTAATTCATGTTAAAAAAAGAAAATGGCTACTGATGATAGGTTGCCAGTCTCAATGAATCTGCATCTCCTCTGTGGCTTAATTTATAATGAAGAAATAAAATTTGAGTAATTTTTCTTAAAAATTTTTTTTGAAACTGTATTTCATCATACTTGTGACCTTGGGGTCTCTTTGATCCACCCTGCCCACTATTCTATGGGTTACAGTCAGCACTCTCTTGGCTCAACAGAGATCACAGACCACTGCTAAACTACAATTATGTAATAGATCTTTCTTTGAGGTTTTACATGATCCAGAGTATAAATAAATTTGTCATCCCCATCTACTAAAGCTCGAAGTATCCCTCTACTAGCTCACTTAAATTTTTTCCTTTCCAATTCCATGAAAATCTTGGGTAATTTCAAATACGTGTATATAACCTAGATATTACCACAAACACCCTTACAGTTCCTCAAATGTCTCTACAAGATCAACAATAATCTACATTCTATGTCAGCAATTTATTTATTCAATAAAATCTTTTATAACTACTTCCTAATTTTCAAACCCATCCCACTTTTACACAATAACTGTTCCTCACTCCTGTGAAATTTAGCTAATAAGCTTATCAGCTGTCTCCAGTTTCCTCTGACCCACCACCCAACTTTGAACTCTGGAAGAAAATTTCACTTTTTATTGAAGAAAATAAAAAAGAGATTCATGTTTCAAATATAATCTTCAAATATACTCTTACTAGCACTCAGAAATCATTTGCTTAATCTAGTTCACACAATAAACCAAACATGTTAACAAATAAAAAGGGTGTTCTTCCTCCTGGATTGCTGAGTATTGGGGAAGAAAATCATTAATTTATATAGATCCCTCACCAAGAATTGGGCATTATAGTTTCAAAAGGATTCCCAATGCTACATGGTCATTCAATTAGTTAAATCTCCACATTCCCGATTCTCCTCAATGAAAGTAAATAAATAAAAGCTATGAATCACATACCTGCTTCTTACCTTCCCTTTCTCTACCCTGGCTGCATACTAGAATTACCCAGAGATCATATTTTTAAAATGCCAATGCCTCAGATCCCCCCCCCCAAAAAAAAACAATTCAATCAGAATTCTGGAGGGGGATGAATTCTGGATATGGGAACCACATATGCTACTTACTTTCTATTTGTCTCTAAACCTTCACCTATTTTTAATTCTCTAAAAATCTCACCCATTCCTTGATCTACAAATTGTCTTAACTTTTCTAGTAACTTCGATATTTTTATATAATCTAAAACTTTTCTAAAATGTTAAAGTTTGCTACAAAATAGGCTATAATACACAGGTTATTTTGGCCTATGTGTCATTAAAAAATTAAGACTCCATATTCAATAATTCACTTAACAATAGAGTGAAGTAAAATAATACCTAAAGGATACAGCATTTAACAGTATGTTATAGTTTATGTCACCAGAACACATACAATTTTATGTAACTATGAAGTAAAATACTTGGGTAATAAAGTTTTTCTAGGTTACAGTTAAAAAAACATAATGACCAATTAAATACATTGTCTTAATAGTGACAAATATAGGAAATCAATATACTTAATTTTTAAAAGCAAATTATTTCCATGAAATATATAGTATTATAGGATGCCAGAAGACACGTATCTTTAGTGGAAACTTAACCATTATACCAAAATGCCAACTAAGGTGGTGTTTTTTGTCTCAATAGGATTTTACGGCATCCTTGAAGGTATAGGAACCGTTATCCAAATATGCTGGCTCAATTCTGACAAACCTGTTAATGTCAATGTGAGTACCGGTCCTCATATATGATAGGAGGAGGGCCCAGAATCTCCTGCAAAGCTGTTTTTCACAACTACTTTACTCACCATCTTCTGTACCTACTTTCAGATGTGCCCCCAACATACAGTTTTTATTGGGTCAGAGAGAGAGAGAGAGAGAGAGAGAGAGAGAGAGAGACGGGGGAGGGGAGGGGAGGGGAGGGGAGGGGAGGGGCAGAGAGAGGAGGACAGAGGGAATCCCAAGCAGGCTCCGTGCTCTCAGCACAGTCCCTGTCTCAAGACATGGAGCTCGATCCCACAAACTGAGATGATGACTGGAGCCAGAATCAAGAATTGGATGCTTAACCAACTGAGCCACCCAGGTGACCCAATGATTGTAGAAAATTCTGAGACACCAAAATGCCCATTTTGCAAATTAGTCTGAATTAAACTTTTTTTCATTGACCCATGTTACTAATAACTTCAGTTTGCAACAGAATTCACAATTTAAAATCCCAAAGTCTACACATAAATATACAATGTGGAGAGTCAAGATGTAGAGAGACCACATAAAAAAGAGTTTGTTCTTGAAAACAAGAAGTGTTCAGCAGAAGAAATATGTAACCTGAATTATCCTTAACCACTGAGATAATGAAATAATGCAATTTACAATCACAAGGCCCAGACGGTTTCACTGAGGAATTCTATCAAATATTTAAAGAATTAACACTAGCTAACACTATCTTCTAAAACTGTAATTTTACACAATACCTTCCAGAAAGTAAAGGAGGAGGGAACATTTCCCAACTCATTTTATGAGGCCAGTATTAGCCTGATAACAAACTAAAGAGTATAAAAAATAAAAAGTATAGATCAATATTTTCATAAACTTAGATGCATATTTGTAATATATTTTTATTAGTAAATAGAATCCAGCAATACATAAAAAGAATATACCATAATCAAGTAGGATTTATTCTAAAATAGAAGGCTATTCACTCCCCCCAAAAATCAATTACTATAAGGTACCACCATATTAAGCACCTAAAGATGAAAAATCCCATCAATTCACACCAAAAACAACGGATAAAATTCAACACACATTCATGATCAAAACTCTCAGCAAACTCACAGAGAATTTGCTTAACTTGATAAAGAACAACTTCAAAAATGTTACAGCTAGTGGAACACCTGGATGGCTCTGCTGGCTAAGCATCTGACTTTGGCTCAGGTCATGATCTCACAGTCCGTGGGTTTGAGTCCCGCATCTGGCTCTATGATGACAGTTCAGAGCCTGGAGCCTGCTGCAGATTCTGTGGTTTTGCTCTTTGCTCACTCTTTGCTGCTCCTCCTCCCTCCTTCACTTTGGCCCCTCACTTTTTTCCCCTCACTTTCCTCCCTCCCTCCCTCCCTCTCTCAAAAAACAAAAACAAAAACATTAAAAAAATCTTAAAGCTAGTATCATCATTAATAATGAAAGACTACATAATTTCTTCCAAAGATCAGATTAAAATGTAAAACACAAAACTATAAAACTTTTAGAAGAAACCATAAGAGAAAAACGTTGGGATGCAGTGCTAGTCAGAGTTCACTTGGATAACAAAACTATAAAACAATAAACTGGTAAAATGGACTCATCAAATAAAAATTTGCAAAACATCTGTTATGAACATAAAAAGATAAGCCACAGACTAGGTGAAAATATTTGGAAACTACATGTCTGACAAAGGACTAGTATCTACAATACATAAAGAACTCTCAAAACTCAGTAAAAAATCCAATTAGACAGGGGCAAAAGACATGAACAGATGGTTCATTAAAGACATGATATACAGAAAACAAATCAGTTGAAATGATGTTCACTCTAATGCCATTAGGAAAATGCAAAATAAAACCACGGTGAGATATCACTACATACTTATCAAAATGACTAAAATAAAATAGTGACAAATGCTGGTAAAGATATGGAAAAACTACATCACTAATACACTATTAGAGGAAATGTAAAATGATAACAGCCACTCTGGAAAATACTTGGCAGTTTATCATAAAGCAAAACATGCAAATACCAAACAACGTAGCCATCAAAAGAAAATGAAACCTTAAGTTTTTATCCCAGGAAAATGAAACCTTAAGTTCATAGAAAAACCTGAGCCAGAATGTTCACAAAAGTTGTACTGTTAACAGCCATAAACCAGAAACAACCCAGGTGTCCTGTAACAGATGGTTAACAAACTGTAGTACATTCGTCCCATGAAAGTTTACTCAGTAGTAAGAAGAATGAGGACTATTGATAAATGCAACAACTTGGGTGGATTTTGAGGGAATTATTGTAAGTTATAAAAAATCAAACCCAGAATATCATCAAGGGTAGGATTCCATCCACATCACATTATTAAAACAACGAAATGGAGTACAAATTCAGGATGCGGGAGTGGAACGGGCATGGGTGCATGGTTGAGGCTATAAAGGGCAAGCAGAGGGATTCTTACAGTAATGGAGCTGTTCTGTATCTTCACTGTATCAATACCAATACCCTGCTTTTGATATCATACTACAGTTTTACAAGATGTTACCAATGGGGGACACTGAGCCAAAGGTATATAGGATCTCTCTGCATTATTTCTTACAACCGCATGTGAACCTATAACTATTTCAACATTAGAAACCATTTTTAAAGCATGTTGCATACATATATGTACTTGTCCAAAATTTTCTTTAGTATGTTCCCATTAAAAAATATTTTATTCATTTAAATGATTTACTTCTGTTTCATAGAAGAAATTTCTAATCATTGGAGGTAATTAAAAGTAAATGGATTTCTGTAGGTAAAAGTATGCCTCTAGATTAAACTGTTACAATAGAATATGGTTAAGGAGGTTACTTCATTGCCCATAAAATATAATTAGGTGATTTACAGGGAATATGTGAAACTAATTCTATCACACATTTACCTTTATACAAGACATAAAGAAGCAAATCTATTTTATGATTACTCCTGGAATGGTCAATAAGTATTATACACAGCTAAAGAATATCAGCCAAAATTATTTTCTAAAATACAGTGATTGTGAACTTACCTTTAAGTGCACATTTATAGTGGACTATAACCCTGAACAGCTGTTGAATTCTTTTACACAGATTTACTTAAATGTAATAAATATACAAACACGGGATAATAGTTTTCAATTTTTTTAGAACACATAAATTACCTGCACACAGAACACTGCCGCTGAGGCTGAAGAGCAGTGAACATAACAATCATAGAATAGTTTCGAGGTGGTGCTTTTATAAATTTTCGGAATTTATCGCCATTCATTCGGAAGATTGAGCGCCTGGAACTCCATTCCATCAGCTGTTCTACTTTTTCCGCTAAAAGATTCTGCAATTAAACACAGACATTTAAATTTATACAGGGTTAAAATCCTCCACTTTGCATTGCATATAAACTGAATACACAAGATTATATCTTACCCCAAATTAATTTCTGCTAAAAGTTTTTCTTTTGGTGAATATATCCATTATTGTCTCTATATGCATAAAATATTTCATCTTATTTTTCCTAATGACTGCAAAGGTTTATAATACAGACATCAAAAGTAAAACAGACTGCCACTTCCAGAAAGATAAAATATACATGCTTTTCCCTAATCTACCCACTAAATACAGGAAAAAAAAGCTGTCCATTACATCAAAAACAAATATAAGAAGGCTCTGAAAAAGGATGTCCAGTGTTAATAAAAAAGAAGAAGGAAATCCTGCTATTTGCAACAACATGGATAAAAATACAGAGTATTCCGCCAGTCACAAAGGAACAAATGTGGCATGATTCCACCTGTATCAGGTACCAAAAATAGTCAAACTCCTAGAAACAGAGAAAAGAATGGTGGTTGCCAGGGGTGTGGGGAGGAGGAAAGGGACAATTGTTGCTCAATGGAATCAAGTTTCAGTTAAGCAAGATGAGTAAGTTCCTGCGATCTCCCGATCCACATAGTATCTTCAGTTAATGACTGAGGATTGTAACTTTTAAAATATGTTAAAGAGGACAGACCTCATGTTGAGTGTTAAACACACTCACACACACAGGCACGCATACACACAAAGAACACAAGGAAATTTTTGAAGGTGATGCATGTGTTCGGTACTCTGTGGTAATGGAAGCACAGATGTGTGCATATTTCAAAGTCATCAATATATATATTAAGGGTGTTCAGTGTTTTGGATACCAATGATAACCCAATAAAGCTTCAAATAAGGAAAAAAGAGAGAGAAAGAGAGACAGGCATCTTACCCTAAGTTAGGGTAAAAAGCTTCCTGAACTGCTCTGCACCTATCTGAGGAAGAAAAAAGATAAACCAAAAGAAATGGAAGAGAGAAGAGAGAAGTGAGGGAGGGGCCGTAATTTGGTCAAAGAGAGGCCTGCTTCATCAGTAATTGGACACAATGTTCAGATAAATGCACAATGGCAGACTGACATACTGGAAAAGAAGTTAGTGTTATAACTAATTACTGGGATAATTGTTACTTAAAAAAAAAAGACAACAAAATTTTATCTTAACAAAAAAGTACCAGCTGAAATTCATCCTAATCTCAAAACATTTGGGTTTTATTATATTTGAATGTAGGCCTTTAGTTCTGATGGTTTTCCATGTTAAGCATAATTTACTAGTGTTTGTCTTATAAAAAAAAATTGTCATATATTTAATGTAATTTTAAAATCTTCAATTGTTTACCCCAACGCTCAATGAGTCGATTCGGTATCTATAAATTCTTCTGCAATAATTTTAAAATAAAATATTTTATTTATAGGGACTGTGACCCTCTGTGTACAGACAGAACCTCCAGACTGGCAATCAAGCAAGGTCCTAACACACTAATGAGGGGAGAAAGAACTAGTCTAACAAACAGCTATTTATCTGCAGGTTCCTAGGGTATTTCAGCATACTTTTCTCATCAAATACACACACACACACACACACACACACACACACACACACTCTCTCTCTCTCCTCTTAATCTTTTTAAATTTATTTATCTTGAGAGAGAGAGAGAGAGACAGAACACGACCCAAGGGGAAAAAGACAGAGAGGAAGAGAATCCCAAGCAGGCTGAGCACTGTCAGTGAGGCTTGATTTCACCAACAGTGAGATCATGACCTGAGATAAAATCAAGTCTGGACACTTAACTGACTGGGCACCCCCACACACACTTTCCTTTTAAAACTCTGCAATTCTATAACAAGCTTACTCTATTTTTTCTTGTTAAAAACAATCACATCTTTACACCAATATACATCTATCAAGGCATTAAAGAACTGTGAAAGGTAGATGATTTTGTTCTACTTCTACTTTTTCAGTTATCAAGGAAGCAAGCCAGTTTCAAGTGTGCTGGTAAAAACAAGAATCCTGAGTCAGAAATATCCTTTTTTTTTCTCTGACAAAGTTTATTTGTTTTCCAGCTTTACTGAAGTATATAACTGACAAAAGTGTAAGGTATTTAAAGTGTACAACAGGATGACTAGATATACATACACATTGTGAAAGAATTCCTTCAGTCTAATTAATTAACATATTCATCACCTCACATAGCATACCTTGTTTTACTTTCTTGTTTTTGGGGAGGGAAGGGCTGGGTGAGAACACTTAAGTTCTACTGTCTTAACAAATTTCAACTGCACAGTGTTATTAACTATAGTCACCATGTTAAACATTAATCCATAGGCCTTATTCACCTTATATCTGAAAGTCTGCATCCTTTTACCAAGTTTCTTTGACCCTTTCCACCACCACCCTTGTATGGGCCCGCTCCTGGCAACCACTTTTCTACTGTTTGTTTCTATGATTTCAAATATATATATTTTTTAATTCAACATAGAAGTGATTCCATTTTATAAGCACATCGTTTTTGTTACAGCATATTTGTTAATCCATTCTCACGGTACAACGGGTACCGTGAGCTCCATGTTGTCATCCACGTCCCATAGTGCTGGTGTGGAACAGCCCTGATAGGCGATCCTCATTTAGGGAGTTTATGTTATAGCTAAAGAACTCAAAGGTTAAGAAAACCCAATCTTTTAAAGGTACTGCTAAGCAAATCTGCCCAACCTCTGCTCTAGAGGTAAAAATTATCTTTATTATTCTGAAAAAGAAATATATCTGTCCTGAGCTTTTTCTAAGTCTAGGCTTCTAAGGAAATCTAAATTAAAGTCAATTTATATCTATTTGTATAACAATATCCTTGAAAAGACAATCCAGGTAATACCTGTGTTTAGAGGTACAGAAACATGAGAGCACCACAGAGAGTTGCCTCCCCAAAATATCAATTAATACATTCTTTAAATCACATAATTTGGAAACATAATCAAAAAAAAAAAAAAGGAGAAGAAGAAGAAGATCAAGTCAAATACTAAATACTGATTGTTTATTAACCTTTTAGGAGTTAAAAATCTAGTTCTGCAACATATGCCTAAGAGAGTATGGAAATATACTTCAGCTTGTCAGGAATACTCTGAATGGCAGATATGGGTAGCTGACCTTCGTAGTTTCACAACTGGACTCTGTCACAACATCATAATTAGCTGAGAAAAACATATCAGTATATTTTAAAATATCTTTTCTTGGGATTTATATACTTTAAAAAAATTTTTTTAAGTCTTCAAGACTTGAAAGAATAAGTCCAGCACTCACTTTCCACAAACATCCACCTATGTTAACAGATATTCCACATACACTTTCATTCCCCCAAAACATGTGTTAAAGAAAAGAAGTAAACAAGGCTGTTATTCATATTTCCCAAGTGCTTCCATCTTTCAGATAACATTAGGCTCATTTACTGGCTTGATCACCAATGAAAATCCCTAGTGCAAAGAGTATTTCTTACTGCCAGAGAGTAAGTTACATCTGCCCCTTAAAAATAAAACAACAAAAATGTTAATTATAACCTGCCTACGGTGGATTCTTTTTTATTCTTTTTTAATGTTTATTTATTTTTGAGAGAGAGAGAGTGCAAGTGGGGAAAGGGTGGGAGAGAGAGAGAATCCAAAGTAGGCTCCAGGCCTGTCAGCAAAGAGCTCCACGCAGGGCTCGAACTCACGAATGATGAGTCAGAGGCTTAAACAACTGCACCACCTAGGTGCTCCAAATTCCTTTTATAAAGTACACTTTCAGTTATTGGGTAGTTCCTCTTTTCAGAACTGGTCAAATATAAATCTTTCCTTTTTCTGACTATTCAGATTCTATGCTTTGACAGCCACTGTGCTACAGATTTTGGGGGACACAGTCACATTCAACATCGATGTCAAAACATAACTTTTACACAGTCATGCCTTGAAAAAGGTAAAATTCCAATTTTATGCTGTTTTTATTTAAGAAGTTTCAATTTACACAATGAAAAAATCTCAATTCTTTAAAATCTGAAAAACCAAATCCATGTTCTGGCCCCACAATGAATAACAAATGATGGTGCCATTAAGAAGTCTCCCTTCTATTCTCTTTTAATATGCTAACTGCTTGATCACTAACTTAAGTTTCCCTCTTAATGTGATTATTCAAAACCAAACACCAGTAAAATCCACTGGTAAAATTTTCTTATGCATTTCAAGTACCAAACAACTTTTAATATTTTCTTCCAAAATATAAGCAGGAGGGGCAATTGAAGTGCTGTCTCTCACAATGTGGTGATGGAAACACAGCTAGGCTTTTGCCAAAACCCACAGAAAGAGACAACCCAAAAATGAATTTTAAGTATTTTTTAAAAGTCAGCGAGGATGGGGGGTAGGGGGTAGGTTCTGAAATGAAATATAAACTCTAAAAAACAAAGCTCACTATATTACAAATCAATCATATACACGTAACTTTGGAAAATAGTACTTGATTGAATACTCTTAAAGCTGAAGAGAAAAGAATTATACATAAACCCCATACTCTAGTTTGCTATTTTATTTCTCACAAGATTAGCAAGTTTGTTAATTTATGAGTATACTAGAGTTGAACAAAAGATTAAATATATATAATAATCGGGCTTATTATTTTCAAAAAAGAACTTATAAGAAAAGGGAAAACTAGAAAGAATGCTGTGGTATTAAACAGGAGTTAGAGGCATCCATATTAACTATGGCTTTTAAAAGAGATATACACATACACACACATATGTACAAACACACACACACACACACACACGTATGGAGTACCATAAATATATTTCCTAGCTATGCTCAATGAGAAGGCTGAGGAACAATAACATCCCAAGAGCAGTGAGCACACGCAGCACTGAGATCTTAGTTTCTAAACATCTTTCTCCACTAAACAGAACCAAGGTTTCCTAGAGTAGCAGCTGATTAAAAGGCTGAGGCAGAGAAAAACATTATGAGACTAGATTATCTTG